CCGGTGGCCCCCAGCCCCACGCCCCCAGCGCCTGGCCCCAGCTCACCTAAGCTGATGTGCAGGAGGAGCTGGGCCTGCTTGAGCTCCACTGTGATGTAGTCACCCTGTGAGCCCTCCCCGTGCATCAGCACCCCATCCTGCTCCAATGTCTTGAAGTTGAAGGAGATGTCATCCTCGAAGGTACTGACCCTCTTGGCTCGGAAACGGTAGGAGATGGCATCATCCCCATCAAAGTAGAGCACATGGGACCCTGGGGAGAGCAGAGCAGCCCCACCCATGTCACTGCCTGCAGCAGCAGGTGCCCTGGCTCTCATGGTCTCTGCCATGAGTGTTTGGGCACAACCCCCTCTGAGAGAGTTTTCCAGGTGTGCCAGAGACAGGATCCCTCCAGGCAGGGCTGCTGGAGCCCGTGGCCAGGTACTCACGGTAGGGGCAGCCATAGAGGCCCAGGCGCAGCCCGATCTTCCCACGCGGGTTCCAGGCCACGGGAATGATGCGAATGTACCGTGCAAGGATGGGGTAATGCAGGTCATGCCGCACCACCCCGCTCTCATTCACGTTCCCAAAGAATGTCTGGGGATGAAGGGTCACTGTCAACACCTTGCTCCAAGTCAGGGGTCTCTACCCCTCTCAGAGAGCCCCTTCCCACAGGGAATGCCGGGCTCCCCCCTACCCAGTTGCTGCCCTGCTGGAAGAAGGGTTTCCAGCTCGTGGGGTGGTCTCCATAGAGCACAATGTAGCGTGTAAGCCAGTCGTAGGTGTTGAAGGTTCCCTGCGTGGCCACTGCATTGATCCGGTGCTTTTGCATCAGGTCGATCTGGAGCCAGGGCTGCTTGTCCCGGGGGTCGGGGGACCAGCCGCTGGTGCCTGCGGGGGGAGCAGCTCAGCGGCTCGGCTCCCGACTGAGCGGCGGCTGCTTGCTCGGCCCCACCACTGCACCTGACTGGGCCCCTCAGCCCCGCGAGAGGCAAAACCCGGCCAGGGACACCCCCTGCCCACCTCCCCTGCAGCCCAGCTCCGCGGGGGGACTCACTGTGCAGACGGGCGAAGCTGGCCGAGTAGAAGATGTTGTATCTGGAGGAGGCACCGATGGAGTAGGAGTAAAGGGGAGCAACGAGCTCATCGTAGCAGGGTCCTGAGGGGAGAATGGAGTTGGGGGCGGCCTCGGAGCACTGAGCTGGGCAGTGTCCCTGTGGGAGCTCCCCAGCCCTGCGGACCCTGAGGGCTCTGGGGACGCCGCGGCTCCCTCGGGCCGGCGGAGCGGCGGGCCCGCTCTGCTCTCCCCTCCCACTGCAGCGGAGCTGACACACCTCTGCGGGCCCCGGCGCCGCCACCAGCCGCCTCCGCACTGACGTGGGCAACGGGACCCCCGCTCTGCCCCGCCCCGGCGGGGAACGATCCCGCGTGGGATCCCGGGGATGCCGTGCAAACCCTCGCGGCACCGGCAAAAGACCCTTCCGAGGGGCCGGGGTCCCGAACCTCTTTCAGGGTCCCCTAACGAGTCGGACGGAGCCGGGGGAGCTCAGGAGCATCCCCAGCTCTCACCGTAGGAACGGTGCTGCATCAGCCCCCAGTCCACCGCCCCCCGACTCTTCCGTCCCCTGTACCACGGACCCCCGCCTCGATGCCCCTTCGCCCCGGCCCTGGGGAAGGGGCCCCGGCTGCCGGCTCAGGGGGCCACGGGGATCTGCCCGGTGCAACCAGGGTCTCTCCGATTCCCGTTCCCGAGCGGCTGCCCCCAGCGCCGGTATGGGGTCGGGCCCGGTGCAGCCCCGCGGCGGGGCCAGCCCGGCGGGCGGCGCCGCTGGCCGAGGTGCTGGCGGAGCCCGGCAGGTCCCGCAGGGCATCCCCGCTCTCCTCGGCACCCCGGGGCGTTCCGGGGCATCCCGGAACCTCGGGGCGTCCCGGTTGTCCCGGGTCCCCAGAGGCTGCGGCCAGGCACGGGGCCGCCGCCGGCGGGGGGGCTGCGGCGGGGCCGCCCCGGGCGGGGCGCGGTCGGCGGGAGAGCCCGGACGGCCGTGTCCGGCGGTGACCTTGGGAACGATGCGAACAGGGGCAGCGGAGCGTACCGAGGGACGGCGGGGGATGCCCGGGGAAGAAGGGGGGACGCCCGAGAGAACGGAGGATGCGGGGACTGCTCGGGGATGCGCGGACGGGGCGGCGGGCGCGGTCCCGCAGTGCGGAGCGGCCGCTCCCGGGACTGCGGCCCCACTTACGTGCGAGGCAGCCGGGACCGGGGCTCAGGAAGCCGGCGCAGGCGGCGAGCAAGAGCCCGAAGAGGCGGCGGGCGCTCATGCTGCGCGCCCCGAGCGCCCTCGGCGCCGCCGCTCCCGGTGCTGCAGCCGCGCGGCGGAGCGGGGCCGGCGGCTCCGCCCACGGGGCGGGGGGGAACCGGGCCGGGCCGGGCGCGGCGCAGAGTCCCGACCACCCCCGCCGCACCCGCGCCGCGCCCCCGGGAGATGCTCCGCCCGGGAGCCCGATTTCCCCGCTCCTCGGCTCGGCGAGCCGCCCCGGGCTGCACCGGGACACGGCTCTTGTGGGTACCGGGGCACGGTGAGGCTGTGCAGGAGCTCCCCGGGCACCCCCGGTCGGTTCCTAGGCGGTGCCCGGTCCTCGCCGCACGCCGAGCCTCCCCTGCCCCTCTGCGGGGAGGGTGGGAGCCGTGCCCGCAGCCCCCCCGCAGCAGATGTGGAGTGTTTGTGATCAAGCCGTGGATTAAGGCCTGCAGGTCTCGGGGTCGCTGCTCTCCCTGGTGGTGCAGAAGGAGGGATTTAGTTTGTATCTGCTCTCAACCACCCCCAGACGCCCACAGAGGAGTTGGGGGGGCTGGCTCCTGCGTGCCCTACATACACCTACAGCCCCGCGGTGCTCCGTGTCCCCTGGCCCCGCAGGACAGGAGAGCTGCTGTCCCCGGGGCCTGGAGCAGTCCCGGGGGATGGGGATGTCCCAGCAGCTGCTGGCTCCAAGCGTGGAGCAGGAGCACGGCCAGGCTGTGCCCAGCTCTAGACCCAGCAGCATGTCCCGGGGCTGGCAGCCGCGGGCAGCACAGCTCAGCTCAGCTCAGCTCAGCTCAGCTCAGCTCAACTGGGGCAGCCGGTGCCAAACCTCCTCCCTGCCTGGGCAGAGCCCCGGCCGCGGCTGGGGAGTGACAGAGAATAGAAAACCCCATGTGTGGCAGGGATGTGGGACACCTGGCAGTGCACCAGTTCTGCTACCAGGAGCTGGAACTGTAAGCTGAGGACGTTGGCACCCTCCCTCCTGGCCCCCAGACCTGGCAGTGCCCGCAGGTCCATCCCCAGGAGAGGCACAGCCCACCTGGCCTTGTCCTGACACCCCGGGGGTGCCTGCTCTGGCCCCAGCCCCACGTCCTGACCCTGTGCTGGGTCAGATCTGTGACAGCCTCAACAGGGACATGTAGAATCCCTGCTCTGCACCCACAGCTGGCTGTAGGGCCAACACTGGCCCCAGGACCCTCCTCCCTCCCCTTCCCCCCAGATGCAGGGTGTAGGAAGGCACCCCCAGAGTCAGCACAGGGCAGAGATCTGCAGTTAGCATCCCTGCACTGCAGAAAAAGCAGCAGAGGGGGAAGAGACCTTCTAGCAAAGAGCCCTGGGGAGCCCCTGGAGGCTGGGGGCACCTGTCCTGGCTGCTCTTCATCCAGGGCGCAGCAGCTCCACAGCCCCACAGTGAGCAGCCAGGATCCTGTACCCATCTGGAGGCAGCAGGAGGGCCGAGGGCAGAGTGGAGATAAGCCACGGCAAAGACAGCTGTAGCTGGGAGAAAGGGGGATTGAGAGATTATGGCCAGGAGCCCATTAAAGCTAGGGATCAGTCTTCTCCCCCCTGAGGAGAGGAAATGGGGCCTCTGCCCCACAGGAACTAATCTGCTTTTTAATGAGGAGCTGGGAATTTTGTTGTCAACAACCAGCAACACGCCTGCCCAGCACTGTGGGGATGCAGTGCCAGGCTGGGACCCCTGGGTGAGGGGTATGCCCTGCACCAGCAGCCACCCCAGCTTCTGGAACCACCACGTTTGCCATCAGGAAAAGACAACCCTAAACCAGACAGGGTTCTGCCAATCCTGCCTGAGGAGCACCGTGCCTGTGCCCAGCTCAGTGCCAGCCCACAGCAGCCCCCAGTCCCTTCACTGGCCCCATTCTCGCTGGTCCTGCAGAAGACAACAACTGCCCTGAGGTGGGCTGGGCTTTCCTGCACGTGCTGAACACCCTCGGCCAGACCCTGCTCCCCTGGCTGGTGCTCCTGGGTTTGGCCTGCACACCCACATGACAGAGACTGAGCAGAGCTGCTATTTCTGTCCCCAGCACGCAGATGTAAAAGATGCACCAAGTCAAAGATTCATTACAGCTCCAAAGTGGAGTCGCACCTGCCACCTTGCCTTCCTCCCCAGGGCTCCTCCCCAGAGCACCGGGACAAGGGCTGCACCATTTTTGGTATCGGGAGAAGCATGTGGTCAAACCACAGGTTACAGAGAGCTTAGACACAAACAGCTTCAGACCCAGCAGCCAGGGGAAAGGCTCTGCTGTGCGATGACGGAGCAGGTGAGGGGGCTGCAGGGCAAGGGGTTTGCTGGGAGCCAGGCAGGACCCCCCCATCATTAGCTTTTGTTCATGTTTTAGGTAGTTCTCTTGTGAGTCTTGTGGGTTTAGACTGAAAGGCAAAACCCTGGGGAATCAGGGAAGTGCCTGGTGCTCCAGGCCCTGGGGTCTTGAGCAGGAAAGGGGCTAAAGGAGCTGCTGGAGAGTCAGCCTGCCCTGGCACTGGGCTCTGATCCCACCTGTGGCCCCAGAGCACTTGAGGAGCCCAAGCCCAGCTGCCTGGGCTCACTGACAGGGGCCAGAGTGAAATTGCTGCTCAACTAGTGTGAGTCAGAGAGTGTCAGATCCTGATCTCCAGGTCAGTGGGGTCCCAGCTGACCAGTACCAGGCTGCAGCACTGTCCCACTGCCCCAGAGCAGGGCTGAGCAGCTGGGAGGTGGGAGCACTGTGCTCAGCTGCCTGCAACCTGGATGAGGCAGGAGCTCCCTATCTGGGAGCAGGACTGGGCAGTGCAAGGCTGTGCCCACACTGGGGTCCCCAGGGTGGTGTATGGGGGCTTTGGGCACCTGGGGATGCTGGTGTGGATCCCCAAGACTCAACTGCCCGAGGCAGCTGGGGCCACAGGCTGGGTGCACGTGCAGGGACACAGTGCTGTGCTAGGGACACCGTGGCTTGGGTCATGTCCCTCCACCTGCTCTGCTTTTCACACGGGTGCTCAGGAAATGTGTGGTGGCTCTTGCAATGACTGAGCACGGTGAACCTCCCGCTGCTGCGAGGTAGAAACAAACCCCGCACGTAGGGCCAGGGACACCTGGGGGCTGGGGCACACCCGGGCTGGGCTCCCAGCGGTGAGGCTGGGTGGAGAAAGGCTGCCCTGGGTGTGGTTCTGACCTCGCGGCCGGGCCACCCGTGCCGAGCTCTCCTCACTCAGCCTCCCTCTGCACAGGTGACTCCCAGCCCCTTCTCAGAGCTGATGGCCACCTCTGACTTCTACCCCTGGGAGGACAGCTACTGGGGCGAGGCCACCATGCTGCCGGAGCTCTGTGAGAAGCAGGCAGTACAGGGCTTGGTCCGCACCTTCCAGCTTGCCTTGTACCCTCTGCTCTTGCTGCTGGGCATAGTGGGGAACGGGCTGGTGCTGCTCACACACACCCGCTACCGCCAGGCACATAGTGTCACCGATGTCTGCCTGCTGCACCTCGCTCTGTCCGACCTCCTGCTGCTCCTGATGCTGCCCTTCGCCATCACCGACACGGTGCAGGGCTGGTCCCCAGTCACAGCCGTCTGCAAGGCGCTGCAGGGTCTCTACGCCCTCAACTTTTACAGCGGCTTCCTCTTCCTCACTTGCATCAGCGTGGATCGCTACGTGGCCATTGTGCAGGCGACAACTGCCTGCCGCCTGCGCCCACGAGCCCGCCGGCACGGCTGGCTAGCAGCGGGGCTGGCCTGGCTGCTGGCCACGCTGCTAGCACTGCCCCAGTTCATCTTCAGCCAGGCAGAGCAGCACCAGGATCTCCGCCTCTGTCGTGTCGTCTTCCCCCGTGTGGTCTCACGGGCAGCCCGGGGAGCCACCAGCCTGCTGCAGGTGGCGCTCAGCTTCGCGGTGCCGTGCCTGGTGATGACAATCTGCTACGCAGCTGTGGCACGGACACTGCTGGCGACCCGCGGTGCGCAGCCCCACCGGGCGCTGCGGGTGCTGGTGGCCCTCGTGCTGGTGTTTGTGGCCCTGCAGCTGCCCCACAGCCTGATGGTGCTGCTGGACGCGGCCGAGCTGCTGACCAGCTGGGAGATGAGCTGTGCCCAGAGCCGCAGCAAGGACCTGGCGCTGCTGGTCACCGGCGGGCTGGCGTACCTGCGCTGCTGCCTCAACCCGCTGCTCTACGCCTTCCTCGGCCGGCGCTTCCGCCGAGAGCTGTGGCTGCTCGCCAGCGACGTGAGGTGGTCCCTCGACCCGCGCTGCTTCGGCTGCCCCAGTCCCCGCCGGCGGACATCGCTCTCCAGCTGCTTGGAGGTGGTGTAGGAGGCAGTGCCCGCGGCCGCGGCAGGGACCAGCTCCCCGCGGACAGCCCCGTCCGTGCGCAGACCTGCCTCGGTGAGCACCGGGACACGGGCAGCGCCAGACAACCCGCACGGCGCCTGCACACGCCTGAGCAGAGGGAAGAGCAGCGCCTGCACGCCCTGCGAGTGCCTTCACTGCCCGGCGACCCGCGGGGCTGCGCTCCCTGCAGAGCCCTGCAATGTCACCGCGCCGCGGGCCGTGCGATGTTTCGCGTACTCTGGGGGTCCGGGCGGTGCCGTGAGCGGTTCGGTGGGTGCAACACCGGGGCCAGGCAGGCAGCTGGTTCCCACTCTCACAATAAACCCCGAACGAGTCCCGGTGGGCGAGCGCGGTCTCCGTGCGGGGTGACGCTGCCCCGGGGGGTTTGTGGGGCCGGGGGGGCTCCTTGGCCACCGGCACCGGCGGGCGATGCCTGCAGGAGGCAGCAGAAGCTCGCGCTTCCTGCCTGCCCTCCGCTCGTCCCCGCCGCTGGAGGGACAGGGAGCCCCCGGAAAAACCCTCCTTGGGTCCTGCACCCCAGGGCGGGGCAGGGGGAGGTTTGTCTCTCCTCCTTACTCCCCCCACGAGCTCCTGTGCCACGACACATCCCGGCCCAGAGGCCCTGCGGCACCGGGGTGCTGCGCTGGGTCCGGCCCGGCCCGGACACGTGGCGACCAACAGATGACCACGGGCTAGGACATGGCGAGTGACACTTTGTCCCACGGGCTGGCACATGGTGCCATGGGCCGGCAGCGCCGGGGCCGTGCAGTGTCCCCCTCACCTGGCTAAGGAAACACTCCAAAGTGCCGGGAGCAGGACTGGGCTCGGCTGTGGTGCAGCTGCTCATGGAGCCTCCCAGCAGAGCTGGGCATGCAGGGAAGCACCTCCCGGTGCTGCCGGGCCTGGAGGCTACTTCCTCTTCACCCCCTGCTCTGTTTGGGATTAGCCCAGGACTCAAGGCTCGACTGGAAGAAGCCCTTCCAGAAGCTTCACCTACTGCCGGGCCAGAAGCAGGTTACTGCTGACTCAGCAGCCCCAGAGGCGGGGTGATGGGCCTCTGTCCCCCACAGCCCTCGGTGGGGACCAAGAGCCAGAATCGGGCAGTTTTTGGCCACACAGCACAGCTGCCCCTGTTGCCCACCCAGCCTGTGGTCTGGGGTGGTCCCGTTCCAGTCCTCTGATGGCCGCACAGCTGGTGGGCTCTGCTGGATGCTGGTGACTGGCCTGGCTGCACAGCCGGCCCCACACCAGGGGCTCAGCCCCAGGCACGATCCAGAGCAGGCTGCGTGGGAGGGGAACTGGCAGCCGGCGCTTCCTGCCTGCGCATCCCAGCAGCCCGGCTCCCAGGGACGGCGCTGACCCGACAGCTGTGGCAAAGCCAGAGCCTTAACTCCTGGGGCTTCGGGAGTGGGGCCAGGGCCTGGACGCTGCCATGGCACCCACGGCTTGAGGGTGCCACAGACCCTCTGCCACTGGGCACAGCCCGGGGCTGAGCTGAGCCACATAGCTGTGGCAGCGGGTGTGACCCCACCATGAACGCCTTCCACCAGCTCCTTTGTGGAAAGTTGCTATGAGGGCCTGCCTTGGCATGGTGCCCTCCTGCCCACGGTGCCCTTCTGCCCACGGTGCCCTCCAGCCCGAGCACCGAGCCCACGGTGCTGCCCGCTGGCACAAACTTGGCACCACACCGGGCTGAGTCGCCGTGCTGGGACAGGCGCCAGTGCTGCCGCACGCAGGAGCCAGGACAGCGCACGATGCGGGTGCCGCGGGGCAGGGCAGGGACCCGTGCCCGGTGCCGGTGCCCACACCGGGTGCAGGCGGTGCTCAGTGACGGTGCCCCTGTGAGGTACCGAGGGTACCCGGTGCGCCCCGCCGGCGGCGGCTCCGGGAGCACCGGCCCTGCCGCAGCCCGGCCCGCGCTGCCCGGCGGCGGGGCCGGCGGCCGGTGCGCGGGGCGGGCCGGTCCCGTCGCGTCCCGGTGCCGTCCCGTTGGTGTCGGCGGGGCGATGCCGTTCCCGGGCGGGCTGTGGTGGCTGCTGTGCTGTCGACGGGGCTTCACGCTGCTGCGGCGGGACTACGGCGAGGCGGAGCGGGAGGCGGACGGCGAGGCCGAAGAGGAGGAGGAGGCGTCCTTCGAGCTCCGCGCCCAGGGAGACCAGGTGGGGCCGGCAGCGGCTCTGGGACGGCCACCGGGACGAGCACGGGCGAGCCGCCGGGGTGGTCCCGCTGCGTGCGGGGTGGGTCGTTCCGGCGGGTGCGGACGAGCCGCAGCCCAGGGAAGGCTCCGGGCGGACGGGCGCGGAGGTCCCGGGCCCGCGGGGCAGGACCGACCGTCCCGCTGGGTGCTGCTGCCCGCTTCGACCCGGGCTGCTCCTTAGGACGGGGGTCGCGGGCTACCGTGCCAAACCCGCGGCGGGGCCCCGGACTGCCCCGCCGGAGCGGACCGGGGCTGTCCCGGGACCACGTGCCGGGCGCGGAGAGCGGGCCTGGATCTCCCGTCTCCGGCTGCTTCCTCTCTGGAGGGAAACGGAGTGGCGGAAACCGGTGCTTCCTCCGGCCGGGCTGCGTGTGCGACGGCTGATAGCGCGGGGTGCGGGGCAGCTCCCGGGGCTCCTGTCTGTCCCGCCGCTCTCCTGCACCGAGAGCCGTGGGGCCGAATCCCAGCCCGGACTCGGGGTGGTGACTGCCTGGTCCCGCTTGCTGTGGCCCTTCACCCCTGCCCACTGCGAGCTCGGCCCTGGCTCTGTCGGTCCCTTAGCAGCCCGTCCCCTTTCACAGCAGTGCCAGCCCGTGGGGACAGTGACAGGGCTGAAGCTGAACCCTCTGGGAGCTGGTGGCAGTGCCAAGGGCACAACTATGTAAGGAACCGTCTTTGGGCTTCCCACATCCCAAGGGCCGCACTGGCTCCGGGCTGGCGTGGGCGACTGGTGACGCCAGCTCCCCCGAGAGCACTTTGCTGTGGCCAGGGGGTCCTTGGAAAGCCGTGGTGTCAGCCGCCCCTTCGTGGGAGCGTGGGAGCAGCTACCCTGGTCCTGTCGCCGCAGCTCCTCTCCTGTTTATTTATATCCCTGAGAAAGAGCCGGCTGCCACCGCTGCCTCCTCTGGACTGCCCGCGAGAAACTAGGCACTGCCTCCGTGCCTGCAGCCCTGAGGAGCGTGTGGGGCCCTCCCCAGTGGGACAGTCTGGAGGAGCTGGCCCTGTGCATGGCTACCAGCAGTGTGTGACAGGTGCCCTTAATGCCACAGGTCAGTGGCGCCCGGCCCTGCCCCACAGCACAGCCATACCTGCGGCGGCTCCCCCCTCCCTGTCACTATTTTTAGCATCTGTCTCTTTTTCTTGGCGTTGCGTGCTCTGGCCTGTCGAGCCTCTAGCTGCCCTGTTGGGCTGCAGCTGGCAGGAGCTCCCGTGCATCTCCCAGGACAGCACTGCCGGTGCTTCCATGTCCCCGCACCCCACTGTGCCGGGCACCCTGCCCGCCCCGGTGCCTGCCTGTGCCTGGGCTCTGCCTCGTGTCCCAGCATGTGTGCCAGGGCCGTCACGTGAGCGGCTCTGTCCATGTCAAGTTGTGCTGCGTGAGGAGGAACTGACCCTGTCCCACTGCAGGGCCAGGGACTTCCCAGTGCTGCGTCCCACCGCCGCGGGCAGGAAGTCAGCGGCCCCATTACAATGGGACTTTGTGCCGTAAGCGTATTACTCAGCACTGACCTTGTGCAATTCTGCACGGTATTCAGCCAGCTGGGTCAGCTGAGGACACACGGCCAGCGCGCCCGCCGGCTGCCCCCGCACCCGGGGTGCCCCAGCTGCAGCCCTGGTTCTTGCCGTGGCCTTGTGGATGCCCGGGCTCTTCTGCCCCATGGCAGCAGGATGTGAGCCTGTCTCCTCGGGTTGATGAGGAGGCATACAGTCATGCGGGAGGATGGCCAGGAGTGCCAGGTAATGACCGTGGGGCTGAGATGTCTCCTTCCTCCCCAGGGATCCCTGGAGGTGAGCCTGAGCCAGCCCACCCGTAGCAGCAGTGGCTCGGAGCGGTGAGTGTTCCCCTGCCTTGTGTCCCTTGTGTGGTGCTGTAGGAGCTGAGGGACTGGCATGTTGTGGGAGGTTGCCCTGGTGCTGGTGCGTGCTGAACCATCCTGCCCACCGAGCTAGCACCAGGCTGTGCTGCTCTGTCAGGTAGAGCAGGGAGTGGCAGAGCCGGGACTGCCGTGCTTGTCCCCGTCCCTGGCGCATCCTCAGGCGTGTCTCCATCCCCCTGCCATGCCAGATGGCTTGACTGCCGCAGGCTTAGCTGATGGGGCTGTGCGTGACTCTTCCTGTGCCAGGAGGCTCTGCCAGGCTGTGTCCATCAGCAGAGGCTGTGCCCTGGGGTGGTTGGGGCTGAGGAAGACGGGGTGCCGGGGCACAGGGGCCTGCTCGCTCGCTGTACTCGCAGTACTGACGCTGCTGCCAACATTCCTTCCTGGTTGTTCATTTTCCGAATTCCTTGGCAGGGCCAAGACTGCAAACAGCTTATTTTTAGCCGGGGTCATTTGCACCCAATGACTCTGCCGTGTTCCCACCGCAGGGCTGTGGGGTGCCCAGAGCCCCTTGGGACCCAGCTCATCCCAGCCCCGCGGCCAGCTCCCTGCTCAGGGGCTGTGGGAGACCCCCACGGGTATCTGAGCTCAGCCCCATGTTGTCCTCAGGTCCCTGCTTGTTGCAGAGGAGATGCGCAGCCTCATCGTGGAGAAGGGCCCGGGGCCAGTGGAGGATGACCCTGACGCTCTCGTGAAAGGTGGGATTGTGCCCCAGCTGTGGCTGGTCCCACCCCAGAGGGATGGTCAGACCTGTGCAGACCCTTCCCTGTGCTGAGAAGCCGTTGGGGTGGATGTCAGTGAGGCTGAGGGTTCCCCTTCCCAGGCTGGCTGCAGCGGGAGATGCGGGGCTGCATGAAGACCCCCTGGATCCGTCCTCGGAAGTACTGGTTCGTGCTGACGCCTGACTCCCTGGACTACTACAGCAGCAACGAGAAGGGGGCCAGGCGCCTGGGCTCCCTGGTGCTCACCAGCCTCTGCTCTGTGCTCTGGCCAGACAAGCAGCTCTACAAGGAGACGGGTGAGCTGCCCATGCCCCTTGGCTGGGCTGCATCTTCCCGGCACAACTTGTACCCTGTACTTGTACCCTCCCAGCCCTGAGGGCTTCTTTTGCCCAGAGGAGAGGCTGTGCTGAGCTCTGGGGCGCTGAGCCAGCCTGGCTGGGGTGCTGCTGGACAGTGGGTGAGTGGGTCTGTCCCTCGCAGGCTACTGGAGCGTGACGGTGTTTGGCAGGAAGCACTGCTACCGCCTGTACACGGAGCACCTCAACGAGGCTGTGCGCTGGGTGTGCGCCGTGCAGAAGGTCATCGACAGCAAAGCCCCTGTCCAAACACCCACCCAGCTGCTCATGCGTGATGTCGAGGTGAGCCCTTGGCACCAGGCTGCCCATGCCCACAGCCGTAGGCAGCACTGGGGTGGGTGTCTGGGGCCTTGCATGCCCCAGGGTGGTGGTGGGGGTCTGTACCAGGCGCTCGGCTGGGTTACCCCTCTGCAGCTGTTGCTGTTGCTTTGCCCCCCAGGAGCACAGAGACAGCCCCGAGGTTCTGGAGCAGATCTATCGCTGCAACCCCATCCTGCGCTACACCAGTGGCCCCCTCTACGCTCCCCTGCTGCCCTTCCCCTACGGCAGCCTGGACCAAAGCGGTGAGCGGCAGCTGGGGGGCACAGAGCTGGGTCCTACACTCCAGGCTGGCAGCACTGATGGCTGGGCTGGATGCTGTGCGGGGCAGGTGGGCACCAGGCTGGGGCCTGGCTGGCCCTGGGTGTGACAACAGTGCCCAGCTGCTGGCAGGGGGTCCTGGGGAGGACCATGGGGCTGTTAACCCTCATCCCATCCCACAGCCCCTGAACCCTGCAGCTACACCACAGGGCTGTTAACCCCCATCCCATTGTGCAGCCCCTGAACCCTGCAGCTACACCACAGGGCTGTTAACCCCCATCCCATCGTGCAGCCCCTGGCCCCCGCAGCTACACCACGGGGCTGTTAACCCTCATCCATCCTGCAGCCCCTGGACCCTGCAGCTACACCACGGGGCTGTTAACCCTCATCCCATCCCACAGCCCCTGGCCCCCGCAGCTACACCACGCTGCGCGACGAGGCTGTGAAGCTCTTCAACTCGCTGCAGCAGCTGGAGTCAGAGCGGGACCCGGTGCCGCTGATGCAGGGTGTCCTGCAGACCTGCCTGGACCTGCCGCCGCTGGTGGATGAGATCTACTGCCAGCTGGTGAAGCAGACTACGGAGCCGCCGGCGCCGGGCGGGCAGGGCGACCTGCACTACTGGCAGCTCCTCACCTGCATGAGCTGCACCTTCCTGCCCTCCCCGCCTGTCCTGCGCTTCCTGCGCTTCCACCTGGACAGGTGAGTGCCAGGGGTGCTAGCTGGCACCAGGGAGCTTGCCAGGTGCCAGTGCCCCTCAGAGCGGTGCCTGATCCTCCTGGCATTTCTTGCAGGACGGAGAACCGTTTTCCTGCCTCGGAGATGGCCAAGTACGCCTGTTTCATCCGAGAGGCGTTGGGAAAGACGAAGGGGAGGGAGTGTGTGCCCTCTCTGGAGGAGATCCTGGTGCTGATGCAGCGGCAAGAGATGATCTGCACAGTGCACTGCCCTGGGGCACCCGCCTGCAGTGTGGCCATCAGTTCCCACACCACAGCCGAGGAGGTGAGGGG